AAAAAAAAAAAAAAAAAAAAAAAAAAAAAACACAACATTTCGCGTATTTAAGAAACTCTTATCTCTAGCTCCACTCACTTTCGTACACAATAAGAATTCCAAGAATTGTGTATCCACAATTCAGTTCTAAGAAAAATCGCGAAAAAAGTTTCACTCGCGTTTCTTCGTATCTTTTACCTTTTAGCAACTGTTTCGTACACTTATCTCGCGTCGTATCACAACTAAAGGATAAGAACATCCGTGCACCGTTTCTCGAATCTCTCGAATATATAACAAGAACGATTCCGTCTGCACGTATACACAGTGAATACAATTTAAATAAACTCGTTGAAATATTTCGAAAAATATGAAAGATACGAAAAAATGATTTAAGCTAATAAAAAGGATACACAGTATTTTCAAGATATATTTTAATCAGAATATATACGTTAAAATATAGAAATTCCAATTAAAAATTCGAACGATTCTCGCAAAATTTTCATCAAGATCATTTTGTAAATAATTTTTTCCATCTTTATTATTTTTCGAGATATATCGGACTCGCTTAAATCTACGTTATACACGTCCGGATGATATTAATCGTTACGAGACATAATTCTTGTCATAAGGCCACGTGGAAATTGCTGCACCACTGGTTGCTTCCGCACGATAAGCGATTCTCTTCGCGTAACACAGTGTGTACCATGCACGTCACTCTACGTTCAAACTAGTACTTCATGTCAACGACTCCTTACCAACCACTTATACGATCGCTATCCATTCACGCGTTGGTTTATAAATCTCGTATTCTTCTCGCGCTCGCGGACACGGTCCGTCGTCCAATCTTTCCAAGATAATACGCGTGTTTCGTGGAACGCCGGTTTCGCACAATCGACGAGTTACAAACGTTTTCCACCGATAATAAAGCGGCCACCGCATAAATAATTAATCGCGTGTAATCGGCGTATTTACGTTCATATTGCCGCCGCTCCGGCGAAAATTGCTTCTCTTTGTCGCGGGAACGTGAATTGCAACTTGAATGACGCATTTTCAAATCGCCTCGAATGCGTATATTTATTTATTTATATTTTCACCACCTCGACCCGACGCGTATACGCTTGAAATAAAAGAAACGATTCGCGGACATAATGCCGTTTTCTCTCCAAGTAATTTTTTCATTTTAATGCGCGGATTTAAGAGGATTCTTTTCCTTTCTTCCTTCGAGCCGATTCTTCCCTCGCTCGCATCGTTCAAAGAAAATTTTCGGTAGACATCGAAGGATATTATTCTTCGTCTGTGAAGTTTCGTCCCGAGCAACAAAGAACGGGGTTGAAGTTAAATTATGCCTCGCTGAATATAGATCGGGTTGAACACTTTGTATAAATGTAGGAACATCAATCAACGGCCATATGAGCCATTATATTACTTCGCACTGATAACAAATAGCGCTTCTACCGCGATAATTTCTCTTCCTGTTCCTTCTCGCGTCTTTGGTTGCTCTTTCTTTTCTTCTCTCTCTCTTTTTCTCTCTTTCTTTAGCTTCGACCTCCGTCTCTGGTTTTCCTGGCAGTCAAACGCTCGTGCGCACGGAACATCGAGTAGAACAGGTGCCTATTTTCTTATGCCCTCTCGTCAGGGGCGGGTTTATGGTTTATTTACCGTCTTGTTTGCGTCTATTCTCCTCTCTCTTTCTCTCGTCCTCGACGGTAGATCAACCAAAAGCATAGGAACACACGTACAACACTCCGTTGGAATACCACTCGCGACTTGCTTGTTTATTGATTAACCATTAGCGAAATTAATGGTTGCTCCAGGCTCCGACACAATGCCGCTATAAAGCTTATGAAGGTGAATTAGATACGGGACACTTGAGCGAATTGCACTTTATTCATGCATCACGTGAATACTCGTTGTTACCATGGTGATGTAACGTTTGTCAATTTAACATGTGATTTTCGTTGATTAGTTTTCATTTAATTGAAAAATGAGATAATATTATGGAAGGATTAACGATGCGTATTATGTTTCGTTATTAATAAATACGTAACGGATGTGATACGTAAATTAACCTTGTTTCCAAGAATGTTAAAATATTTCGTTATATTTCACTATTATTCAACGTAAATAGCGGGGAAATTCTTCGAAATTCCCGCGATATAAAAATATTCGATTAAAAATTCGCAAAAATTTCGGATAGAAAATTAAACTAAAATTTCCACGAATCTCCGCTAGGGATCCGATCGAAACGATCAAACTCGCTGAATTTCATTAGTAAATGAAGGGTACATAGGAGGAGGATAACGCTGCACCGTCATTCATTTTATAATGGCAGGAATGTCAAACAAGCAGGATGACAGTGCTCGGCCGAGAAGAAAGCTACACTTGACTATTTTATGTGCCGTACTCCTCTTCGCTCGGAGCCACGGAACCCTCTTGCATGCGCTAGTTCAGTTTCAAACTTTAATTAAAAAGGTGGAGTCGCAATAAGCTTCCACCGTCCACCCTTCTCTCTTTTTCTCTTTCCGCTCACCCCTCCCTCCCTCTCTCTCTCTCTCTCTCTTTCGCTTCACCCCTTCCCTCTGTCGCCGAAACTCCGGAGAGAAGTAGAGCTATTTTAATTTCATTTACCAGAAATAAACAGAACAATCAAATTAACGTAGGCGAGTGAATATGCACGTCCGACTTTGCCTTTGATGTATTCCCGAAGTGCGTATTTTCGGAGCAACGCTACCCTTTACCCTCCATCCGTCCCTTCACCCTTCTATTTCCCTTGGATACCTGTCTTTCCACCCTACTAGTTG